AGGAGAGTATTCAAAAATTTTACGAAACAGAGATTCGAATAGAACGATTTCTACAAGCATATCCAATATAATCGTTTTACAATGTTTTACAATATATTTTCACAATGTTCTGACTTTGTGTCGGCTGAGTGAGAAGTCGGGACTTTGTGGACTGTACTTTTTAGGATGTTTGGATCCTAGAACAGTCGGGACTTTTGAACGGTGTAAATGAGTTGGCTGACCCCATTTAACAGTAACAGTTAACGATTTATTAAACACGAAAATCACAGTAACAGAAAAATAACAATTATAGAGTCTTTGAATTGTCTGTACAGTCTTGAGTTCACGGAAATTTCACACAGAGTTGACTGATGAGTTGACTGATGAGTAGAAGTTGTAAGTTTTCCTGTACTGGTCTCTGCACCAGGAGTAGCCTGATTTTTTTGAGTAGTCTGAGTTTCATTGTGTTGGCGTCAGCCACACAGACACAAGCGAGTTGTTCGTGTATGGATCTTGTGTGTGTGTCTGTCCATGAGGCCGTGAGGCGTCGAAGCCGACATCATTCGCGTCTTTTGTAAGAAGGTGCTGATGCGGACCAACATGAACTTCCTGAGGATGTCTTCTAAGAGTTAGACTGCCTGATGAGTTCATAATCATCACTATAGATGATTAACTGGTGAGTTAGTCCATGTCTGAGGAGTAGTCTGGGTTTTCACTAGAGAGTTCAACTGTGTGAGCTCTCTGCTAGTACACACGTACCGAGTTGACTGTTACAACGAGTTGTCTGTGGGTTGGCATCGTCCGATGGTGCCCAAGAGTCGTTCGAGTACGAGCTACGTACAAATCCTCGCAGTAACCGGCGGATACTGACTAACACAGACCATTTTTCTCGAAACCTCTGTGTTCTCCAAGCTTCTAGGCCCTTAGAGAAAGAATATATACGCCTATGAATTACTTGGAGTTGTCTAATTGGCGAAAATAAGTTGGCAGGAGAGACCTTGAGTCATCTAATTATTCGGTGGGGAGAAAAATGTTAGGCCTTCGGTAGAGTACCTCAGCCCAAGTCAGAACACATAAATAAAATCAAGCTAAAATATTTGGCTATAATATGAAGAATTCCTATCAATGATGAAAACCGGCATTGGATGAATTCAACACAAAAAAATAATTCTAAACTATGCTGTCTGTTCTGACTTGGAGGGGCCCAAGTCAGTTAGTCAGAAATATTCAAAATTTCGTAATGCCGGACTTGTCCACCGGCGCGTCAGTCAACTCACTGGACCAATCATCGGGAAGTATTTCCCTCATGGCCCAGAAGGCAACTCTACGGCCCTAGTGACGCCAATAAGCACGCGGTCGAGCACTTGTGGCGTCAGTTAGCTCCAGGCAAATCACGCGGTCATCTCTGTATAATTTTTCGCCGTCAAATCGCAGTTTTTTGCAGTCAGCTCACTCGTTGTACAATACAGTACGGTCAAGGAGACTCAGACACCTCTCACTAAGATACGTGAATCATCAAATCACTCTCATCAGTGCAAGTGGTCCAGTATATTCAGTTTGTAGTGTCTTTGGGCGCGAAGCTGAACTGGCGTCGACGCCATAGTGCCTCACGGACATTCACCTATACATCGCTCCCCCGAATAACTCTGGTGTATACTGTAAATGTTGCTATTCACTGTTTTTTGAGACTATGTTATTTGGTGAAGAAATAACCATTGGACAACTCATAAGTGTACAAACAATTATGGTACAGTCAACTCAACTAGATGTAGTGATTATTAAATTCTATTGAGTATGTTAAGTGTTATTGTTGAATAAAAACTATAAAACCCAAGCAATCCAGTGTTAATAAACTATATTTTAGAACCTTCTAGCATCCAACCTTTTGTTCTTATTCTGCTCTTAATTCATACAGTCCACTAGTTTTCAGTTTGCTCATTCGGCCGACTCGAAGTCAGAACATTTGGTCCTTCGAGCCGGATAAGAACGGCTTGGATGCATATCGAACAATTCTAGAAGGTTCTAGGGCTTCATAATTTTGTGAATATTTTGTGAAATGCTCTGTATAAAGTGCTTGGAATTTAGTTAGACTCAAATAACTTTCAGTGTCAGTGTGTAAACAACCTTACAGACAAAAGGTGGTTGTGCATTCCAGTGCCCAGTGACACTCATCTGTATTATTGTGAGACAGTGGTGCTCATCTCACAACTTAAACAATTTCTTGAGACGCTTGGCGCGCAGTTTGGTTGTGTGAGAGTCAAGATAACCTTGACGCAGTCAACTCACGTGTATATAAACATAGTTCGGTAATTATTGTAGTGTCCTTAGTGTAAGTTTAGTCACCTAAAATTAGTATTAAGAGCTCGTAGACTCAGTTAATTAATTTGTGTGATTCTTTTGGTGTTAAGACTTTCTTGAAAGCCCACTATTGGTATCAAGGTGACAGCAGACAACTCTAGCATCAGTTTTTGTGCATTTTTTTTTGTGATAAGAGTAATTATAGTGACATTAGACAACTCATTTAAGTAAATCATGGCAGATAAACGTGTAATTTCTCCTGCCAAGTCGGACTACATAGATGTAGCTGACGACAACGACTCAATAGAGGGTATGGCCCAGGCCAAGAACCGCAGCCAACTCAACCAGGTTAACAGCCATCAACCTCCCAGCAGTGAGGTGATGATGTGCCATTTCCACAGCCGACTCCAGATCACACCCATTCATCTAAGCAGACTTCTCACCAGGTAACTCATCATCATAGTCAACTCTCTGCAGTCAACTCTAATTATGTTTTAGTCAATTCTCCAAGTGGTGGTGTGATCACTCAACATGCAGACAACTCAACGATTAATGGTTATGAATCATGTCAATCTATATGTGCTGACAGGAGTAAAGAATGCTTCTCTGATGACTCGACGGAAAGGATGACCTTAGCACATGAGGTTTCGGCCTCAGGAGGGTTGAGGGTCCTGGAAGAAGAGTCAGAAGGTCTCGTTCGATCTCCTACAGCTGAAGAAAAGAGTCAAACTCACACTAGTCAAATCTCAGACGACTCACATGATTCAACAATCACCAAGAACACTACAGACAACTCAGATATCCATGGAAGACTCGCTTCAGCACTCAGGGCAGCAGAAGATCCATGCACTAACGAGTCTCCAGTTCAATCAGACAGCTCAGCAGTCTTACTCGCCACAGCCAATGCAGTATTACTCTCAGACTACTCTCAGCTTCCAGTAAGACTCCTGATAGACTCAGGGTCTGAGCTGACGTTTATCTCATCAAGTGTGGTAAAGACTTGTCATCTCCAACGTCGTCCATCAGTAATATCAGTGCTGGGAATTGGTAACGAACCAGCTGTACAAACCAGAGGAGTGACAACAGTGACACTTAGATCAACTCACACACAGGAGCAAGTTACAATTAATGCTCAGATCCTCAAATGTGTCACTGGTACTGTACCAACCAGACAACTCAAGGAACTCAACTGGTCAGCTCTCAACTCTCTGCAACTTGCTGATCCAGACTACTCAACTCCACGACCCATTGACATCTTAATAGGAGCAGATTGTTATGGTCTGATTGTGAAGGCTGGCATCAAACAATTTCCTCAGTCATCTCTCATAGCCCAAGATTCACTCTTTGGATGGATGCTCATTGGAATGCCACAACAGACAAGATGCTCAACTGTGAGAACTCATCACGCAGCACGGGTCGACTCATACCAGCAAGTGTCTGATCTCTTGACAAAATTCTGGGTTCAAGAAGAAGTTCCAGAGACTTCAACCAGCCAACTCAGCCCAGATGATCAATCTTGTGAAGATCATTATGTTACGACTCATTCAAGAGATCAAGATGGGAGATATATTGTGAGAATACCACTCAAAGCATCACCATCTCTTCTAGGCAACTCATCAGCGAGAGCTCATCAGGGTTTACTACACATGATCAGACGACTCACAAAGAATGACTCATATGCACAACTCTATCACAACTTTATGCAAGAATACGAGTCACTGAACCACATGACACGAGCCAAGGCAAGTCCAGTCAACTCTCCAGTGTATTATTTGCCTCATCATGGTGTCTTAAGAGAAGACAGTCTGACTACAAAACTTCGTGTAGTATTTAATGGCTCTAGTCCATCTTCTAGTGGGCTATCAGTGAACGATATTCAGCATACTGGTGCCAAAGTCCAGAAAGACATTGCAGACGTACTCATTTGGATCAGGCAGCATAAATTTGTGTTCACATCAGACATCACCACGATGTACAGACAAATCAAAGTCCACCAAGATGATTGGGATCTCCAGAGAATCCTGTGGGTGGACGAGCACTCCAAGATAATCCCATATCAACTCACAACAGTCACGTATGGTACCAGATCAGCTCCGTTTCTGGCTGTTCGCACAATGATCCAGCTAGTAAAGGATGAAGGTCATAAGTTCCCTCTAGCTGTTGATCCACTACTAAAAGGAAGATATGTGGACGATATTTTTGGAGGTGCTGACACCGTGAGTCAACTGATAGACATCTCAACCCAAGTCAGACACATGGCAGGTGGCTTCCCGTTAGCGAAATGGCACAGCAACTCACTTCAATTCCTTCAATCACTCACAGACAACTCATCAGAAGAGCAGATCCACTCATTTGAGAGCAGCAAAACGAAATTACTTGGGCTCTCGTGGATTCCAGCGACCGACTCATTTAAGTTCAACTCAAAACCTCCTCGTGAGAAGTCCAAGCTCACAAAGAGAATAATTTTATCAGAAACAGCACAACTCTACGATCCACTTGGATTTCTAGCACCTTTCATTGTCAGAGCAAAGATGTTGCTACAAGAAATCTGGCTAGATAAACTCTCATGGGATGACCAAGCCCCAGATCACATCATCACCAAGTAGAACAGCTTCAGATCAGAACTCTCATGTGTTTCAGACCTCTCAATTCCACGATGGTTACGGATTACTCAGAAATCGATCGTGGAACTTCATGGCTTTTCAGACGCCTCACAAGCAGCTATGGCAGCTGTTGTTTACATACGGACTACTCATCCAGATCATGGAACTTGTTCAACTATAGTCTGCTCAAAGTCTAAGGTTGCTCCATTGAAGAAGATGTCTATTCCCAGACTCGAACTCACCGCAGCATTGCTGCTTGCCAGACTAATCACTTATGTAAGGAACAACTTAGACATTCAGCCAACTCAACTCGTATGTTGGACAGACTCCTCAGTGACTTTGACCTGGATTCAGTCTCACTCATCCCGTTGGAAGAAGTTTGTAAGAAACAGAGTGTCAGCAATTCAAGATCTCACTCCAATCAGCGTTTGGAGGTTTGTACCTGGCAAACAAAATCCAGCGGATTGTGCTTCTCGAGGTATCAGCATATCCCAGCTTCGGAAGCACCCCCTGTGGTGGACAGGACCACAGTGGTTAACAGCAGACGAATCATTATGGCCAACTCAATCATCAGTGTACGATTCAAAAGCTCAGCAGGAAGAGCGGCCCGGGCTCACTTTACTTACTCAGACAATTCAACATGATTATCATTGGGATATGATATACAGACATTCACGGCTAATCAAATTGCTCAGAGTGACTGCAATTTGCTTCAGATTTAGCCAACTCCTCAGACGAGTACCGCAGTCATCTCTCACCTTCCCTCTCACGCCACAAGAATTAGAGAGAGCAAGGATTTTTTGGATAAAGGCAACTCAAGAATCGTACTTCTCACAAGAAATCAAGCAGATCAACTCAAATTCACTGCCCGTCTCACACCCCCTCGCACGATTGACAGCATTTATTGACACTCAAGGCGTCATACGTGTTGGAGGGAGGTTAGCAAATGCTAGCTTGGACCAAGAAGCAAAGCATCCTGCAATCCTACCACAGAAAACTCATCTTTCCAGACTAATCATTGCAGATGCTCATGAAAGAACATTGCACGGTGGGACGCAGGCAACTCTGAACCTCATACAATCATCGTACTGGATCATAGGCGGACGACTCCCAGTACGATCCTATATTTATCATTGTATGAAATGTGCTCGTTTACGTGGCGAACGAGCGAAGCAGTTAATGGGTCAATTGCCGTTATCAAGAATCACTCCAGCCCGACCATTTGCCGTCTGTGGTGTGGATTACGCTGGTCCCATCACGCTAAAGACTTGGAAAGGCAGAGGCGCCAAAACATCTAAGGGTTGGATGTGCATTTTTGTGTGCTTCGTTACTTCTGCACTTCATTTAGGGATTGTAACAGATTATTCAGCAGACTCATTCATTGCAGCGTTCAGAAGGTTCACTGGACGTCGAGGTGTCTACAGAACTCTCCACAGTGATTGTGGCACCACAGTTCAAGGCGCAGACACGCTCATCAGACAACTCTTCATGCAGGGGACTCAACAGTTCAGTCAACTCGCAGCTGTATTTGCAAAGGATGGAACTGATTGGAAGTTTAATCCACCAGCTGCACCACATATGGGAGGAAAATGGGAAGCTGCAGTCAAATCAGTAAAGTTCCATCTTAACAGAACGATAGGCGACTCACTCTTTACATATGAAGAGCTTTCCACACTGCTTGTCCAGATAGAAGCAGTCCTTAACTCCAGACCACTCGAACCTCTCTCAGCCGACTCTACAGACATCTCAGCATTGACTCCAGCACACTTCTTGATTGGTGAACCGCTTATAACATTACCAGAGCCTTCACTTGAAGATGTGCCAATGCCACGCTTGTCCAGGAGGCAATTTATTCAGCAGCGACTCCAATCGTTTTGGTCAACGTGGTCAAAACAATACCCTCAGCAGCAACTCGCCATTTCCAAGTGGAAACACCCCTTTCACAACATCACAGTCGGCTCACTTATACTACTCACTGACGAGAGGTTCCCACCAACGAAGTGGCCTCTCGCCAGAGTGATTGAGGTGTTCCCAGGATCAGACGGACTCATCAGAACGGTCAAACTCAGGACAGCAGCAGCAGAACTCATCAGAACACTCACCAAACTAGTCATCTTACCATACACTCCACCAGCAGAAGATCAGCAAAGGCATTGCTGATGGTGGGACAATGTTCTGACTTGGAGGGGCCCAAGTCAGTTAGTCAGAAATATTCAAAATTTCGTAATGCCGGACTTGTCCACCGGCGCGTCAGTCAACTCACTGGACCAATCATCGGGAAGTATTTCCCTCATGGCCCAGAAGGCAACTCTACGGCCCTAGTGACGCCAACAAGCACGCGGTCGAGAACTTGTGGCGTCAGTTAGCTCCAGGCAAATCAAGCGGTCAACTCTGTAGAAAATTACAAAGTCAGTTAGCTCCAGGCAAATCACGCGGTCATCTCTGTATAATTTTTCGCCGTCAAATCGCAGTTTTTTGCAGTCAGCTCACTCGTTGTACAATACAGTACGGTCAAGGAGACTCAGACACCTCTCACTAAGATACGTGAATCATCAAATCACTCTCATCAGTGCAAGTGGTCCAGTATATTCAGTTTGTAGTGTCTTTGGGCGCGAAGCTGAACTGGCGTCGACGCCATAGTGCCTCACGGACATTCACCTATACATCGCTCCCCCGAATAACTCTGGTGTATACTGTAAATGTTGCTATTCACTGTTTTTTGAGACTATGTTATTTGGTGAAGAAATAACCATTGGACAACTCATAAGTGTACAAACAATTATGGTACAGTCAACTCAACTAGATGTAGTGATTATTAAATTCTATTGAGTATGTTAAGTGTTATTGTTGAATAAAAACTATAAAACCCAAGCAATCCAGTGTTAATAAACTATATTTTAGAACCTTCTAGCATCCAACCTTTTGTTCTTATTCTGCTCTTAATTCATACAGTCCACTAGTTTCCAGTTTGCTCATTCGGCCGACTCGAAGTCAGAACACTGTCCTTTAATTATATTCACATAACTTTATCATGATATATCTAATGATCTATCGGGGATAAAATGACTACTCAAATTTCTCGATATCGATTAATTGTTCTGTTACATTATTACTTCATCTAATAAAATGTAATCATTTATTATTAGTCGTTTTTTAGCTGATATCAATACAGAAAAATTTTATTCTCAAGTTTCCCTTCAAGTTATGGTCAAGCAACTTCATCATGACATATTTTGCGATCCACTCGGCGTAGAATTACCGTTCAAGTTTGGTAGAGATTATGAAATTTTTCTTCTTTTCCTATACGCGTCAGGCCAGCAGTAGTGCAAGTAGAGTAATTCTAAAGCAGCGGATCGTTTTATGGCTAGAAGAAAAATTTCATAATCTCTACCAAACTTGAACAGTAATTCTACGCCGAATAGATCGCAAAATATGTCATGATAAAGTTGCTTGACCATAACTTGAAGGGAAACTTGAGAATAAAATTTTTCTGTCTTGATATCAGCTAAAAAAAAAACAACTAATTAACATAATTTACAATTTTTTTTTGTGTTTAATACCTACAGGAATTCGTACAGTGCATCATGAGTTAAACCGTGCAGTTCAATGATATGTAGTAACACATATTTTTTTCTAGCTCAAATGCTTAGATGTTTATGAATTAACGACTACTCAAATCTTGATAGCTCTTACTGCTTTTCTTTTCATGTCATAGATTTTATTGTAGGACCAATTTACTGACCTAGAAAAATTTTCCCGGCGACTCACTGTCTACTCAGACATTTAAAAATCCTGTTATAATCCATTGACTCAAGTAATACATTCTTATTACATCAACTTATTAATTTCTGCTAAAAAATAGGTTTCGCGGGGCAATTCTTTATGTCAAATTTGTGTATATAATACGCCGTTTGATTATAGTCCGATTATTTACGAAAATGTGTAGTTTTTAATTTTAGCACTGTCAGTATTAATAATACTGTAAAATAAGACTCAATAACAACTTCGGAAAATTAGTAAATTAATTAAAATGTTTATTAATGATTGACAGCAATCAATAAAAAGAAAGAATCCGTGCGGTCAACTCAAGTCTCAGACAAAAACTGGAGATAAACAAACTCTCCCCTCGTTGCTATAAACAATCTAATCGTCAAGCAATCGTTGTTAACTAACAAACTGTCGTTCGTCTAATAGTCATTAGACGGCGACATACAAATATTTAACAATACGTTTTAAACTAAAAATTATGTCCTTAACAATTATGTTGTATGATATGCTAAAGTTAGTCATGTATAAAAAATCTATGACTACGATTATCTTATTAATTAATAATAATAATGATATGCATTCACAAATAAAAATGTTAGAAACTTGCAATCGTTACTTGTACTTCGAACAATATTTGGAAAATGAAACATTTAAATTCATAGTTGACGCTTTAACGCCAGTGTTCGCATGCACGCTCATTTTTAGCGGTGTTAGTGGAAGTATCTTGGAGGACTTTTCAAATCGGCAGAGCTTCATATCGTTTATAATGATTAAACATTTTCTAAAACTATCAATATAAATATAGAAGTCAATTCTGAATATGTTAAATTTTCAATTGATTGTTTTTTAAACGCATTCTTATGGGCACTTTGATATATTTCATTATTACCCACCTTAAACTCAGCAAGTTACCTGTACACAACATTTCTAGAAGTAATTAATAAAAATAATAGTTTAATCGATGAGAGGTGGAATTCCCTATCAATCATTACACACACATATATATAGATATTTATATACAGTGCAACCTCGATATAACTAATCGGAGGGGAACAAGAAAATATTCGTAATATCAAGTAATTCGTTGAACTGTATGTATATACATAAATATATAATATTATAAATGAAAAAAAAATATTAATATTATAAAAAATATTAATATTATAGATGAAAAAAAAAAATATTTGTATTTGTTTTTTTATTGATAATCGTTCTTAAAAAACTAAGTTATATAGATCATAATAAATTATGCTGAAATCAGAAATATTAAAAAAAAAAGACAACAAGATCCTAGACTCGAACCTCAAAAGTAAAAGTTCGGAGCCCGGAACGTTACCTCTGAGCTATGCTGCATCTTCAAAAAACTGCAACATCTTATATTTAAGCTGCGCTTAAGGATTGCCATTTATCCGGCTTACTTATCTCAACAACTTCTTTTTTTGTTAAATAATTTTTTTTTCTATATTTTAATTTGTGTAAAAGCAAAAAACAAAATTTTTATATAATATTTCTAACATAATCTATAAAATAATTTTTTTTTGTTAATTTGCTCTTCTTATAAAAAAGAAATTTGTATCCTGGAAATCGCTAATCCATTACTAAAATCATTTGTAATTATATTACAACAGGAAAAAAAAACAATTATAAAACAACAAGGCCCGGGACTCGAACCTCAAAAGTAAAGGTCCGGAATCTAGAACGTCACCTCTACGCCATGCCGCATCTAAAAAAATATTTCAACAATTTACATTTAAACTGCGCTTGGGAATTGCCATTTGTTCAGAAGAGGGGAGCGCTCCTATAACTTCGCCTCCGAATCCCTTCCAGTTTGCATCTGAACGTCTAACAGCCGGTTTCCCACTGCAGTGCCATCTCTTGAAGACACTGGTACATATAAATCCCTGTCCAACTGCCCCCATTTGGATGATTCTTCTATACACATCTCTATTCTCTGCCACGAGTGCTCGACCGCGTGCTTTTTGGCGTCACTAGAGGCATGGAGTTCCCTGCTGTGCCATGAGGGAACTACTTTCCGGCGATTGGTTCAGTGAGTTGACTGACGCCCCGGTGGACAAGTCCGGCATTACACAATTGTTAAATAGTTTTAGACTCGCTGACTTGGGGTCCTCCAAGTTAGAACAAATTGAAAAATGCATGTTAATAGATTAAAATTGCTAGTTGTTTCATTTGTTACGTAAATATATTTTTAAACTTTGAAAATAAAAATAATTTAAAGTAAATAACCTGCTATAGAATTCAATATTTAACAACATCTATTGGAGCTCTTAGTATACTACTCCAATTTTAAGTACAAGCAGTTGTTTTTCATATTTTTCTACTGTAAGTTAAGAAGTGCCCACTTAAAAACAAAAAATCACTAATCTGATACCCTGGACAATTCAGCCGTCCCAAAAAAAAGTTTTAAGATCGATTGGAAAGAATTCTGTAATACCAACAATGACATGACTCTAGGTCACCTTAAAGCAAATCGACTATGCGATAAATTAATAAAAGAACTATAAACTTTGTTATTGTCTCTACTCGACTAATTAATAAGTTTATGATGCTATTTAAGGTAATAATCGACTCCTACCCAACGAGAGACTATTGCAATTCTTTCGATAGTCACACTAGTCAGTCAATCTTACACGTGTATCAGAATATTGCTGGACTTACATGACTTTTCCGGGCAGGACTGCGAAGGCTGCTGTTCAGGATAATCTCGTGCGTTGTCTCAGGAACGTACTGAAGATCTGGACGACTAAATGAGTGCTTCCTGCCAATATAGGGATGCTCTATCTTCTGCCAGTATTAGTTATCTTCTACGACTATTTTTAGTATTGACTATTACCGACTTTATTAACTGTGACTATTTGTCTGATTATATTAAGACTATAACTTGACTAAACGTAGACACTTAATTATACGAGTATCATGTACTACGGAGGGAGCCTTTATTTGGCAATATCTCTGCTGCTACCAGTAGACTGCCCACTTGTCGTTTTGGCGCCTTTGAGCTGAGTGACGTCTGGAACGCCGGCTGCTTGCCTCGTGGTGGCCATGCCCCCTTCCACTGCTTGATTCTCCCACCTATTCCAATAGTCAGCTCGGCAGGTGGTGATACGCTGAAACTCGTAATCGAGTGTAAGTACTCGTTGGTAAGGTGGAGAAGAGCCCAAGACATATCGATGGTCGATGCTTTGCCTGTTGGTCGAGCCCAACACGTTACAATAGGTTAGCTTTTTATGGTAAGTTTATAGCTAAAAGTTATTTGCTATGTAGTGTATTAATCTTCTTAGATTAATCATGATTGATTTTTCCGCTTGGGCAAATAGACGATCCAAAGATAACATATTACTTGAAGAGCATGTTGGACATATAAATAAAACCGCATTAGACGAACGAAAATTGGAAGTCATGAAAGTTAAGTTAATTCACATGCAAAAAGCTTTACAGCTTTAGATACGATGACAGATGATTGTGTTCAATCTGTCGAAGAACATTTCAATATACCTACAAATCAAGTCACAAATGTGCTAAATGTTAATAATTTAGAACAATGTCCTGGTCAAAATATGAATAAAATATTTTATAGTACAGCGAATAATGATGTTGAAGGATACTGCTCAAAAATTGTTTTAAATTCAAATAATTACGAACATCAGAACTATTATCAACAAAATTACAATTTAACCTCATGGGTTGATACAGATACTGGAATGATTCCTTTCACACAATATTATAAGAATGCAGACAGTTATTATGCTAATACGGGAAAAAATAACACTAATATGGCTACAGATTTGTAACTTTTTTTAATATCAATTTTTATCATAAAATTAATTATTATTATGTTTCGAATATTTCAAGTGTAGTAAAAATAAAAATAATTGAACTAAATTTTTAGTATATTGAGATTTTTTTTGGACCTAAATCATTCCACTCCAATCCCAATCCAATCCTGAAATTCCCCATTATAGAATTAATGGCTCAATATTAGGCTTGGATTAATATTCTAAATAAGAATCCTGAGTTTAGGGCAATTTTGGGATTAAAATTTACATTCTTCTATATGTAACATAGTTTTCTACATTTAGCCGAAATATTCTAAGTTATTTGGTAATTTAGGAGGATTTTGGGCTGGACTTTTCTACGCGGAGTCTTCTGAGAAAAAAAATCTATTACAGACTTCTTTGAGACATTCTAGTAGGTTGCATTTAATTTTTTAATCTTTTGTTAATAGCGTTGTCTATCAGTATTTGTTTACTTTAAAGTAATTTCAGTCAGTAAAAAAATTTTGTAGTTAATTCAAACTTTTTTTTCTGAATCAAAATAAAATCGAAATTGTTTTTAATTAATGACAACATCCTCTAGTTTTTCCAGGTGTAATATTTATTTATTACAGTTGATATACGATTTCTATAGAGTATGAAAATTGATTTCTTTTTGAATTCCAGATACTGTTATTGATAATTTTATTCATCGTTGTATACTTCTCCGATCATTTTCGTTCCTGTTTCGAAAACAGATGATTTCACATTTTTTACTTGATTGCTGTTAATGTATCTAGAACTAAGAATAACAATGGAAATAAAAATACCAATTACAAGATAAAAAGACAAATTTACCATTGGAAATGTATGAGCTCCATCAGCAAAAACCCAAGTGCAATAAAGACACCATAAAATATTATTAAAAATGCTGCGTAGCAATCGATTGTTCCAACACTTACAAAACTTGTTTGTCCTGCGCAAGTTGGTTTCTGAGTAAATAGTCTTCTGTTTGTTCGTTGTTGTAAACCAGTTTCCTTTATCCACAGAGCTCTGTAAAAATTTGGAAAGAATATCAATGTTCATGTGTAAAGTGACCTCACAAACCATAAAATTATAGTTAGCTCAGAAATATCGTACACATTTTATTACAACAATTACCGATTTCACAACGACCCACACAGTATGATATTCCTTTCATACAAAAAAAAAGGCTGTGTTGCTACAGACGTGCAGGGGAAGCTCAGCAAGGATTTATTGTGATTTTCAAACTGCTTAAAATTTTATCTTGTACCTTATTTCTTGCTGGTTCTTTACTTTACGCGAACGCAAATGCATAATTTTTAGTTTTCACATATACGTAATTTCATTCATCACAGTCTATTGAGGTTGTGCATTTTGAAATTGTAATTTCTTTATTCTAATGACTTGAACATGCCATAAAAACTTCGGAAAAACTCATTAATTGACTTTAAGAATAGATTAGGCATGCTATTGTCTTCCGAAATTAATTATTTTGAATAATGAATAATTGGCCACGATCCTACATACAAGACTTAAGAAAATACAGATTTCTTTTTCTTAAAATACGATTTTTTTTATAAAGTTAGTACCACTGTAAGGTCGCTATAGTATGGTAAAAAAATTAAGTTAATAAACAGAATGTACCGATTTTTAAGGCGTCAACTGCAAAACAAATTAATTACCGAAACGTTATAGTGTTGGCAATGATAAATAATAGTATCTCTTTATGAATAACAATTAATTAACAAAACAAAGTTAACAAAAAAAATAATAAATAAAAATGACGCTTTGATCGAGATAATGAAATAATGGGAATTAATAATAATTTATTCGATAACATGATAAATAAATAAAAATATTATCAGTCTTCATTTACTTATATATAATCAATGACTTCTTTTATAAGCGAATACTCATATTTTGAAAACAGCTTGAAGAACTTGACAATTTTTCTTGGAATGTCCTTTTTCACCACAAATCCAACATTGGAAAATTTGCGAAGAATTTTGATTTTGAAAATTCGACCTAAAATTTCCTTCAAACGAATTATTTTTATTATCTTTTTTGAAATGATGTCTAAAATTATAATCTTTATCAAAAATTTTATTATTTTTACTAAAATTACTATTATTCTTATTCTTAAAATTATTCTTTGTCTGAACTCCAAAGGTCGAATCGTCAATCGACTCGAGCTCTAGAGCTCTCTGAGTCGCTAATTGAAGAGACTCAATTCTCTCCGAACAAAGAAAGAATTGTAACTTCAATTTTTTTAATTCAGAAATGGATTGCAAACCAACAATTCTATCTCTATCTTCAAAAGAGACCGAAGGATACGCAAATTTGACAAGCCTATCTAAATCATTTGAAAAGTCTGTTTAATTTTCATTTTCAAACTGATTTCTAGCCTAAAAACGACTAGAATAAGCTCAAGAAAATTAAGCTTCATCAAAACGATCTTCTAAAACTTTCTTCAATTTTTCAAAATTTCCTATATCTTCTAAACTCAAATTTTTTGAAATAACTTGAGCTTTGTCCTTCAAACAGGACACTAAAATCGATGCTTTAACTTCATTTGTCCATTTATGCAGACAAGTGATAGTCTCAAATTGACGGAAATAAGATTCCCACGTCTGAGAATCATCGAATTTTTCTGGTTTTGCAAAAGCTGAAGAACTATTATTAACTGAAGAAGTTGAGACCGATTCAACCAAATTATTAGAATTAATTTCTAAATTATGAATTTCCAGATTAATTTTATATTATTATTATTATTATTATTATTATTATTATTATTATTATTATTATTATTATTATTATTATTATTATTATTATTTTCTTTTCATCTTGCGATTCGTCAGAGGTGTCTGGCCAGGGATCCCAGGGCTCCGACCCACCTGGGGCCTGACCAGACGGAATTATCCTGCAGGCACCTGGCTCCCTCAGGTTTGAGGGTGAGCCGGGGCTGCAGCCGTTCAGTCATTTGTTACAGTCGTCTCAGGATTCGGAGAGAACCAAGGATGACCGCTTTCTGCATACGAGCCGCGAGAATCTCAGCCTGACTACGGCAGACTGGTATTGTTCGAAGCTCTGTCAGAAAGCGGTCCCTCATCCCTCCGAGGGCGCCAATCGCCAGGACTATCACGTGCGCTGTGTATTCGTGATAGACATTTCTCATGACCTCCATGAGCTCTCTGTAGCGTTCCTGTTTACTCTCTTCTTTTGCACGTATATTTGTCTCAGCCGGAGCTGAGAACTCAATGTAATATACGTGCTTGGTGGTATGGTCGAAAAGAGTAATATCCGGCTTATTGTGTTCAATACGTTGGGGCGTAGAGAGCGGGTAATTCCAAAGAATTTTTGCTCTCCCGTTCTCAACGACTGACTCAATTTCACCGGGCACATAGGGCAGCACTGGTGTCTCGTCTATTCCATAAGAGTGCCGAAGGTGGTAATACAGCACTCTTAGGGCGGCGTTATGCCGGTGAATGTAGGCTGAGCGCGCTAATATCGGACAAGCCGATAAAACATGAAATAGCGTCTCATCTACATCACCGTGGCAAACTCGGCATCTTGTGTCCTCGAGTTGCTCGTGCATAACGTCACACACATATTATAATAATAATAATAATAATAATAATAATAATAATAATGGTGTCTGGCCGAGGATGGTGTCTGGCCGAGGGGTGCTCCTCTCGCTACGGTAATGGAATAAGTCCGTACAGCCAGTTTTTTTCCCTCCTCACTGGTGATGGCCTTCTGGGCGTGAGGAACGAAACTATCCATCTCGGTTTCGTTAAACATCACCACCTTTGCAGTGGGCTAACCACCCCTGCAAAGGTTTTTAACAGGTTACTAACGATAGACCTGCACCGGCCCCCCACAACCGGCCCTCTTCGGATGAGGGCCATGGAACAGTTGGGAGGGGCCTTACGATACGTTCCAACATGGCTATCGACCACGGACCACCCCTACAGCGCCTCAGGTGGACGGAGGAGCTGAGACGGGATTTAATGCAGTGTTGGGAGAGATGCGAGCCACAGACCTTAGGCTATGCCAGGCGCCTGCATACTCTGTGGTGCGAAAGGCACCCAGAGTTACAACAGCTAACGCAGGCGGCGCTCGCATCGCAGGTGCGGTATACTCAGTCTCGACGGCGGATAGAAGAGGAGTCAGACTCTGACTCTTCAGTATCAAACGCTTCAGAGACTGAGGGCGAAGTCTCACTAACACCCGAGACAGCCGCACCGAGGTGGAGCATACTCCCGTTCCACCCTTCTCTCACTGCAGAACCCCCATCTCCTCCCCCTGAGGGCACCAATCACCAGGACTTCACCAGCAGAGAGGGTAATTTTCTCCGGAAAATTACGCTCTCTGCAGAACACCTAGCCAGCGCTAACCAAGATCTCGACCATCGGGTACCAGATAGTGTAGATCTTTTTGCACTCAACAATGCAGTCTATGATGTGGCTCGAGGGTTTACTCAGGACAGACGAACACCTGTCAATCCTGAGTTAAGCCTGAAAAGACGCATCGAACAGATTGCAATTAAGATCAAGAAGGCTCGACAGGGTGCATCTCGTATTCAGAGTGTGATGGATCACGTAAATACTCACACGCCTTATACGCCAAGAATTCGGCGTATCGTGGCGAGTATCAGACGTGAACATCACACTTTGAATACGGCCGTGTTACTGATCCTAAAGGAAAGGTACACAGGCAAAATAAGATCGCTAATGGCCGTTAAAAAGTCATTAGCAAAGCGGTACAAGCGACGAAGGGACAACAGATTGTTCCAATCTGACCCTTCGCGCTTTCTTAAGCCGCAAGCCCCTGTCACTTATGAGCCCCCGAGTGCAGAAAGAGTTGAAACCTACTGGACCGAAATATATGGTCGCGCTAGTGCGCTAGATGTAGACACTCCAGCCCTTCAACTGTTCAGAGAATTCTGTGACGAACATCTATCACGAATTCCTGAAGAGTTTCAACGAGTCAGCATGGATGAAATCAGGAATGCTCTAAGGGGCACAAAGAACTGGGCTGCCCCTGGGCCAGATGCAATCCCCACCTTCTGGTGGAAGAAATTGACCTCATCCCACCAGCATCTGGCTCGTATCTTCTCAGAATATCTTGGAGGAGATACACCCATTCCTGGATGGCTCGTTGAAGGGCGTACTGTGCTGATCCCCAAAAGTGGTGATCTGTCCAACCCCAAAAACTACAGGCCTATTGCATGTCTAAATACTCTCTACAAATTGTTTACAAAGATTTTGAACGAGAGGATTTTGACTGCAATAGAACCTGTATGGAGACAGATAAACGAACAACGTGGCAGCAAGCGTGGCTTGACAGGTTGCAAGGAGAACTTGCTAGTAGACCGATGCGTCACAATGGACGCATACTACTACAAGCGCAACTTGTCAATGGCCTGGGTGGATTACAGAAAGGCATTTGATACAACATCACACGAGCTTCTCCTCTACTTGCTCGAATGCCTTTCAGTACCCCCCACAAATAGTGAGATGCATCGAACATCTGATGCCGCTCTGGAGGACACGTTTCACCGTAACATCTGGTGAAACAAGAGTGTCTACCAGAGCAGTGCCATTTAGGAGAGGCGTATACCAGGGAGATACCCTGAGTCCTCTCCTATTTTGCATCTCACTGCTGCCATTATCTGTCACTCTACGCCGAACGCCTGGATATAAAGCCGGACGAGTCTCCAACCGCGTACACAAAGTCACACATCTATTTTATATGGATGACTTGAAAGTGTACGCGGCAAGTCCTGAGAGACTCCGAACAGCCTTAGAGGTTGTTTCCGAGTATACCAGTGCAATCGGCATGGAGTTTGGGTTGGACAAGTGCGCAGTTGCCCACTTAGTAAAAGGAAGATCGCCGAACTGGAGTGATAATGTCGAGCTTATAGACGGGAGCATCATAAAACATCTGGATGCTGGAGAGTCATACCGATATCTTGGACAGGCACAATCTCCTTTGCAGGACGTGTCTGTCATCAAAGATACTCTCCG